GATACAAGCCATGGTTTCAGGTTTCACTATTATGCTGCTTTGGAGCTGTTCAGAGCGAGCAGGTAAACTTACAACAGAGCGGAAGCTCAGTGCTTTTGATTTTCTACAGTGCTGTTACACTGTAGAAACAAAGTTCTGTTGCGACGCTGCTGACACCTTGGAAACAAAGAGCACGGAAAATTTCTGGTTGCTGCTCTCCTCGAGTCCAGACCTTACTTTTAAAAATGCCAGGGTACAAACTTTTATGAGTTTTCTTTTATTCTTCTCATCTCTCCTGATTCTCCTCCCAGTTAGGTAGTTAAGCTTTTGATTATCTCCTGCTTGCAAACAAAATTATGTTCCAAAATGGTGGAATTTCAGACAAAGTGGAAAAAGGGAGAAATGAAGACCTAAGTCTCCATCCTTTTCCAGTTCACTTTACTGATGGTTGCTCATAACATCATGAAAAAGATGATCAAAGAAGGTGGAGAATCTGTCCTTTTTAAAGGAAAACTCATTGGTCTCAATTGGAAAATCTTTCCACACCACATGCACAGACTACCTTAAGGATGTTTCGCAGAAGGTTTAACATTTATTCTAACCCTTATATTCTCAAAAATATCATAGACTTGACATATTAAGTCCTAGGCCCCATACCAGGTAGGGGATTTTCCCCCTTCCATATATGTAGAGACAAACGGATGAAGAATATAGAGCACATGAAAGTGAGCATCTAAATTTACATTTAAGGTTGAGGGCTGAAAAATATTAAGCATGAACATAGTCTTACTCCCAGAAGAAGGCTCACAGTTTTGCCTAAAGTATTTCAGTTTGTAAAAGTTTTCAGGACCGAGTCTTGTAGTGACAAAATATGAGGTTAGATATTCCTAATTCTTTAGGGGTCCAAAAGAATTGCACTTCTTCTGGACAATGCTGACCGGCATGAGGAAAGTGCTTTCCAACTGCAGATGTGTTAGCATAGATTGTATCTAAAAAGGAACACGAAATTAAATTAAAATTGAACTGCAGTTGAAACTTTTCATTTGTCTGCTATTTTATGTAGAGTAATCCTTAAGGCACTGTATTAAATCCATCCAGCACTGACCCTGTTGGAAGGTGGGCAATGGTTTCAAGTAGAGCATAACACCTCACTGTGCTTCATTCAGTCCTTTGCAGAGGTCCAGACCTATTAAGCAAATATGTTATGCATATACTTTGATTCAAACCAGAAGCTGTTCAAACTACATGTCAAACCTCTTACCAAAATTGATAGGTGCACTCATGTGGTTTCTCTCCTGAGTGCTAAATTCTGCTCCTTAGCTTCTGAAGCCTCCATTTAGGAGTGGTTTTAGCTTACTCAATGGGATTTAGAGCTGTCAACTGAAGAAACAACTCCAGATTTCATGTGTAGGCTATAACAAGTGTATACATGAGAAAAAATAGATTTCTGTGCCTGCATCCTGTGATGTAAACAATTCACATCTTAATGTTCTAGAATCAGATAATTAAAGGAACAAGTATGGAACATGAGCCACAACAAACAAAAATGGAGATACTTAGGAGAAGATCTGCCAATTGCAGAAGCTTTGACAATTCATAATGGAGAGCTGTCTTCTGATGTTAAATGGATACAATTTATTTCTTTAAAAATAAAAATATAGCCTAAGACATTTGGAAAATGTTGCAGAATGTTTTAGCTAAGGCAATAATCAAGCACAATGAGTTTAAATATTAATTTGCAGTCAGTTTTGTGTACTTTTCCTTCCTTATACACAACAGAAGCAAGTTGCACTCTGAGCAATCACATGCAAGGAAACACTCAATGTTGTTTTATCTGTTTTCTTAGGCAAATTAACTAACTAACCAACTGACTAACTAAATAACACAGATAAATAACTGTCTCATTCACATTTCTCCCAGGATGGTTGAATTATTTTTTAAATCAAAGTTTTTTATCTGTTTCAATGCTGTAAGCCATACTGGCAGTTTCATTTACACTTTTGTCCACATATTTTAGCATAATTACGTGACAGATCCTTGACCTTTTAAGATAATGCTTCAAAAAATCCAGAGTGTTAGAGTTTCCTCCACAGCCTGAATATTTTTTGTTGTGGAGACTCTTAAAAATTCTGAGGAATTTTCTTCCTGACTGAAGCAGACTGACAGCATGTGCCCACTTTTTTTTCACTGAGTAAAACTGAAGCCCTGGTGTTTGTTGTTCAGGAGTTGTGCAGAGGTGTGTAGAGCACTGGAGGATCAGCCTCTGGCTGGCTTTATGTGCGTGGCCACCTGTACCTGTATGAACCCACTGCGTTCAGTGCAGTTCTCCTTGGAAAGCAACACTACAGCTGGGGCCTCACATGGAAAGCTGTCAGCAAAATAACTTTGTTTCTCTTCTTTTTTTTCTAAGGCTTGGATGTTTATGATAAAACAATATAGTTGTTATTGTTTTCTGAACACAGAAGGCACATGCACCTCATTGATCCTTAGCTGAGGTAAATATGACCCCTAATGGAAAATTATTGCAATGGGACAATACGCAGCAATTTACTATTCTGCCATTTATTTGCAGGCCCAGACAGGAATTTCTTAAAGCCTGCCTTCACTGGAAAACAGTAGCACTTCAACAGCGAGACTTGAAAAAGACATTTGTATCTACAGAAGTTTTATGAAAAGTTTTTCAGGATTAGGTGAAAATTTCTAATCCACAGCAACGCCAACATGAAACTAACATCCCTTCATTTCATGCAGGCACGGTGGATGTTTATAATCCTTCTCCCACACTTAACTAAGACTGCTGTGTCAAAGCTAAGTCCTTCAGCCTCTAATATTTAATGTCATTTCATGCCCAGTGAATACTTATTTTCAAAAACCAGTAAAACAGGTTTCATGGGAAAGGATAATAACCAAAGAAAAAGAGGTGAGCTGATACTTCTGAGGAAGCAGAATTCAAACTCCTGTTTTAAATCAGGAGATACAAGGTTTTCTATAGTGTAGGCACATGCCCCTAACACAAGTGTAAAAACCACTGTCTGTGGAGGTTTTCTCCTCTCAAAGAACAACACAAAATCTAACTTTTGCCCTATTACAGACCAAAAGCTCCAAAGATTAGATCTCAGAAAGCTCTGTTGAATGGCAAAATTATTTTCATTTGCTTATTATTCTTTATTTTCAGTACCTGAACCACAGCAGCATATTAAGCAACTATGGAAAGCTTCTGTTCACCAGAACACATTAATGAACAGGAAGAATTTATGCTCTGAGGGTGGTATCTTCATGACATGACTTTGATTCTTGAAATGACAGTTAAGAAAAAAACCACAGTTCAGTTTAACTGCCCTTCCAAAGTAGGTAGATTTTGTTATGCATGTTCCAAGAAACCCATCAACAATGAATAACTTGAGCTGAAAAGGAGTTTGTTCAGGATTCACTCTAGCGCAACTTGTCTGTCCACCAGAACTGTTCTGTGTAGACTTCTGGCCACATCAAAATGGGCTGCCTTAATTAAAACCAAACAGAATATCAAGATCTAAATGATGATTCTCTCTGAGTGAAAGCTGAAGTTCAAGGATACTATGGACAGTTTCTCATGGATGTGGTTTCTAAATCTCTTCACTCCTTACCTGCCCCTATGACTGTGAGATAGAGAAGACCATGTCTGATTCTTAATTTCTACTTAGTTCTGTGTGAATTTTGCAACATAACTGGAAAACCACCTGGGCCACCATGCTGGGCAGCTCCATCCTTAGCTCATGTTCCCATGACTGTCAGAGTGGTGGCTGCTTTTACCCCTGGTTAGTGACAACTGGACACCCTCCTAACAAAAATTCTGATATTATTCTTACAGCCCTGCTCACAGTGTTAATATAAAATGCACAGGCTAAATATTTCTTATGCTGAGTTTTAAAAAGAGAATGAAAAAAATGCTTTGTGTCTATAACTGAATGGGACCAGAAAAAAAATCTGAGTAAACAATGAACAACAAATAAAGATTCCTCAATTAATTACTTAAATTTAAAAATGTGTTTTAAATAAATTGTCATTTCCTGTGTTTCCAGCCTTTCTCAGGTTTTCTCAAGGTTTTAACTAGCAAAGCTCTTACTCTTCTTACATAGCCAAAACATATACTTGTGTAGTTGGCTGAAAATGCTGTCTTTCTGTATTAGGATTGTAAATGAGCATATCTGCCTTAAAGATATTCAAAAATTTGCCCCATTTGAGGATCTTGACTGGATTTTGGATTTGTGAGAGCATTTCCTTAACAGAGGAAAACCAGAACACAACAGCTGACAAGAAGGCAATTTTTTAATTACCAATACACTCCTAATCTTTGAGTGGAATTAACAGTAACACCACATACAGCTGCATGCAGACACTGTGTTTTTAGTGAGGCTTTTTCTCTTAAGAGAAATCAGCTCTGAGCTTTTTCATGCTGCCATAGCCCCTCTGAACCTCTTCCACCTCAGGAAGATCAGCCTTATGTGTATTCAGAACTGCTGAAACACAAGCCATGCTGTATTCTAGACAAAGATGGTACAAGCATAAATTATGTATCAAGAAAATTACATTAATGTACCTCATGTACCACAATGCACAGTATGGAGTTGGAGCTCCACTCCACTGTCAGCAACTACAGAGCTCTGAATGACACCATCGGGCATCTCCTTTTCTCACTAACTACACTTAAAATTGGAGCATCTAAGTTTGATCTGTTTCATTAAATGAGGACTTAAATGCCTGTTGAGGAAATTCTCCCTAACACAAGTTATAGCTGCATCTGAGTGGTTTTAAGAAACAGGAAAACCCAACAGAGTAAACATTCTTCCTGAAATTTATCATTGAAGGATAGAGGAATATAATTTTAATTCTGTATGGAAGAGACAGAAGCCCAAGTTACCACGGGGTTTTCTGATGCATGAGTGTCATGTTATTTCTGAACTGGAGATCCCATCTGAAATTAACCTTGTTCTAAGTGCATCAAAAAGCTAATACCCAAGGAAACAAGAACAGAGTGGACTTACTGGTTTTCTGGCTCTTCTGGAACTTTCCCAGGTGTACAGTGGGGGGTCTGCTGGGCTTTTGTGGTGGCTGGCCCAGTGTGAACACTGGGGGCAAGACAATCCGCTTGGGCCTTTTAGTACTCCTGTCCTCATCCTCACCTGATGGTCTTTCTGCAGCAAGTGCCATAGTCATCTTATGGAATTTATGAGAAGAACCTGGTTCTTCCTGGGTGATTTTGTTGAGGAAGATGTTCTTGGCAGCACTCCTTCCCTTTTCTTCAGTGTTTTCTGCTACAGGTTTGGGGGTTCCTTTTATTAAGCTGGACCTGTGGCCAGTAGGCTTAAGAGCTATTTTAGGAAAATTACTGCCTGGAGTTTCTGCAGCAGAGTTGCTATTTTCACCCATTTCCTTTGCTTCTTGGTGTACATGTATATTTGTTCTAGGTCCATATTGTCTCTGCAGAAAACCACTTTTATTAGAAGTGTCTTCATTTTGCGATACCTCATTGTTTAGAGAAGGTTTCTGTGCAAGAGGTGGTTTAGAAACAGTAGGCTTGGGCTCATTTTCTTGTGTTGCAGACCTTAATTTTTCCTTTACTGCAGCTACTTTTAAAAATTCTGGTTTTGTCTCATTCTCCTGTGATGCAAAATTTAAATTAGGTTTTGGTCCCATGGGATTTTTTTCTTTATCAGGAGGACCAAGGAACTTGTTCCATGCAGGTTTTGGGTTCAAAGGCTTTGGGTCCTCTTTTGATGGGTCACAAGTTTTGATAGAGAATTTAGTGCATCCAGCTTTTTCATCATTTCCTCTGTTAATGGGCTGAAGCTGAACACCGAACTTTTGTGCCACTGGGTTCAAATGTTGTGAGTTTGGATCTTTCTCTGTTTTATCACCACTTGAAGGCTTGACTGCCAGAGGAGGCTTAGGCTGAGCAGGTTTGTGAAGGGTACTGGGTCCTGAAGAAAACGCAGTATATCCTTTATTTATATATTTCTCAAGTGCTGTTTTCCTTGTCTGTAATCCTTTGGGGATATCTTGTCTTGAGATTTTGGTGGGTTGGCTGGTTGAAGGATCCTCTGTGTCTCTGTTACATCTCTCAAATTTCTCCATTAATAACTTCAGACGTGGCTTCGGATTCTACAAACATAAAGAAGAGAAAAACAAAGGGCAGCAATGGGAAAGTACTCTTGCAATGTTCACAAATACTGTGCTTTAAAGAGTTTCCTGGTCTGAGGCTTTACTACTGCTGATTGGCTGAGGAGGTGCTATAGCTCATCTTCCTGTAGAGTTAAGAGAAGCTGAGCATTTTGTTGTATCCTTTCAGTGTTGATACGATATTTTAAAATTTTCATTCAGGTGCTGCCTTTCAGGTACTGCAGGTCCTTTTGGATATAATTTCTGTTTATTTCTGGAATTGTGAACTGAATACATAATAAATGTAAGAAATTACATGTGACATTAAAATCAATTTACCTAAAATTTTTATTTGCCTGTGATAAGAAGTTCCTGTACTGGAACCTGGGGGAATCTACCACATTCGTGTTATTCCTGTTAACTCTGTGGAGAACTGCAATTTCCTTTGTGAAAACAAATTCTTCTGGTTGATGTATGTGTGTGCCAATTTTACTTTCCTTTCTCAGCAATTTTTTTACTTACTTTCTGCTCCCCACACTCTCACTTTGTCCTTGTTTCTCTTCTCCATTTTGTATCTGAATAAAACTGTGCATGTGTGGGTATCAAATGAAAATATGTGAAGTAAAATTAAACTAAAATGACAATCAATACACCCAGATATTGTCAAAGTTACTAAATTTCTTTAAAAAAAAAGATGAAGTTAAGTAATTCCAAGAGAATAAAATCCATCTTAATTCAAAAATAGATGCTTTAATTAGTCACCCCAATTCAATAAGTTTCAGGACCGGTCATAATTAATTATGAACTGAACCCAAAAGTTCAATACATTTAAATTCAGGAAAAATAAAACACATCATACTGCAGGATGTGAGCAAAAGGCAGTGAGATGGTCCCATTGCACTGGGCAGGATTTCAGGAACCCTCTGGAGCAAGAAGTCCTCTTCCGAGCTACAGCAGCAGCAGGGGTGCAGCTATGGCAAATACATTCATACATACAATTCACAAGTAGGACCTGGACTTCCTGTGTGAGCTAAAATGTAAAGCTTATCGTACAAACTGAATCATCTGTCTGTAAACAAAGGAGTATTGCTACAAAACTAATAAACAGGTGTTAGAAAAAAGATTAGACATTTAAGAATTAACTGTGTATTAACTTACTATGGTTCAGCAAGTGCCCGGTGGTTGTTTTTTTTTTGCTTCAATAACAAAAGTTCAATTGGGCTTTTGCTCCTTTTGCCTTCTGTTTGTGTCTCATTACATGAATACTGTTAAGTTGAGTAGTTATATATACATAGAGAGAGACTTCTGCCACTTAAAGGTAACTATCCCAGTCTTTTGGCATTGCCAAGAAATTCAGTCTTTCCAAACTGATTGTGTTGAGCTACAAATAACTTACAGTAAATGCAGCTAAAACAAGAGAGACATAATGAAACTTATACCCAGCAACCACATTTCTGGGTATTTTTGTGCATATAAAGAAGGGAGGAAGTACATACTTACTAAGGAGATTATCAGGTTTAAGCCATATACAGCTGTTTGATGCATACACACTCACGAACACACAACTACATTTCAGAGTTATGTGTATGTATCAATTAAGATTTCAAGATTTGTCCCACAATACCTCACAAGGCCCTGATTTTACCCAGTTTAGACAATTCAGTGCTAGAGAATAAAAAAGCCTTTTGTCTTTGATCTCTTTTGGCTTTGTATGAATTAATGATTTTTTCCTAAGGTCTGTAACAAAATCTAGACCACCAGAGATCCTATAATTATAGCTTATGTCTGAAGTTTTCAGACCTTCTAAGTTAGTATTTGATCAGCTGCTTGGCCAGTTCAGCTACGCATTTCCTTTGAAAGTCATAGTAATAAATTGATTTCTTTGCTACTTCTATTTGAAATATAAGAAAATGTACTGTGCAAATGACAATACTTTTTACAAGCAAGAGCCATTCAGCATGCAGACCTTTAGGAAGCTGGGAATGTGACAATGAAGAAAATTTTATTATTATGATATATGGTTTCTAAGAAGTTTTCTAGACTTGGAATAGCAAGATAACATTAATTACATTCATACAAGCTTTCAAATGCACTGAACCATTAATTACTGCCATGTTAGGAGTCAATGAATTTTGTCAATGAATTTTTAAAAATAACTTTCTTCCCAACACTGTGAATAAACCTTGCCTTAGTCATGCATATTTACAAGCCCAGCAAGAGGAAAAGGTTACTGGACATGTGACATTAGATTAACAATAACAGTTAACAATAAAGCCTCTTTCATTTACTTGGTAAAGGTAATAGTAAGAATCAAAACAGAGTAAGAAACTCAGTGAAATCTTTCTGCTTTTCTTTAATGTACATCACCTGCCTTATTATCTGCCTTCATAAGTTGTGTTACATTAGAAGCCATGTAGATTTTAATGCAGAGCTTGACTGGTCAGGTAGACAGAGGGGAACTGGGGAAAATTTTTTTTTTTGTTTGTGGCCCTGATCATAGAGTAGTCTCCACAGTTTCTGTGCTTCCTTTCCCAGAAGTGACAGCAGTTACCTACATCATTATCACATAGTTGGTTATAAATCATGAAATGGGAACTTGAAAAGATTCTGAAGAGAGATTAAGTTCCCCCTACCCTTCCCATCTAAAGTGCAAAGTGCCTTTGCAAAAGAGGAGTTTCATGCAAAAGCCAATTGGGTTATTTTCTGAACTTTGTCTTTGATCTCTATGCAAACTCTGTGGAAAATATTTTGGCTTTTCAAATTTTCATCTGAACTGCAAGCAACACATAAGGAGCACAGTAAGATTTCTTTTAATACAAGATGGTTGCACTATTCAGATGTGTTTGCTCAAATCTGGATCAATACCTATGTGTTAGCTCTCATGCCATAGATACATTTTTATCAACAGAGCTTTCAGAGCCTCCCACTGCCTTCAGCAGAGACTCACAAAGGTACCAAGTTAAACTTGTACAGAATTGTTTCACTACACCTTAGTTACACTTCTGTGTTAATGAACATAATTCTCCATAATTTACAATATGGCTGCACATTTCTGTATAGAAGTACACTGTAATGAGAACACAAAGGTACATTAAAAAAATTCAACTGTATTCTTCCTGAGTTTAGTATGCAACTCAACTGAGTTGAGTTGCAACTGGCAGCAACAAAAAAGTTTGGTGTTTTTATTTTTTTATTTTTTTTAATTTTTTTTTCTGCCTTGGAATAAATATAACTTTATTATTTACTTTCCTGTCTTGGTGAAGCCAAAAGATTATTTCAGTTCAACTTCCCCTTGAGGCCAGGCTTTCTTTAAACAGCAACACTGGATCAGTGAACTGAATAGCAGATGTGTGTGTGTACAAGCATTAATTGAGCAAATGAAAAATATGTAACTTTCAACTGTACAAAGAATTCATTCAAAATACATGCAGATCTGATTTATAAAGGATAAAAACCCCATCTTTTCTCTTCTCAACTGTAATTTTACATTTCTATTCCCAAGTAATGGGGTATAAATATACCCTTTGAAACTCAAGATCTTGATGAGTTTGTTAGAGAGTAATAAAATAAAGATTAGAAAACTATCTCTTTAAGAAGAAAACGATGCTTACTTATGAATTCTTTAATAGTGAAATAATCACAGAAGTTAATAACCACTAAAGGAATTGAGCTCTAACCTGTGTGCAAGATAGAAGGAATAAGAAAATGGATGAAAATGGCAAGGAAAATGACACAGAACTGTAGAAAAATACAGATCTGGAAATGATTTTGCAACTTCATATATCTGATATAACTTCTATTGAAGTTAGTAGATTTGAGGCAGTCTAGATTTTGTTTATGTGGCAGTGCCCTTTTGAATTCATGATAAATTATTGCTTGACTACTTTCTTTTCCAGACACCTCAGAATTATCATTATACAAATTTGCTGTTTCCAGAAGACATTTCCAAACTGCTTTACTTCCCCTTGAGTCTAGCTGTAATTACTAGTTCAAGAGTCCCTCTAAGAGTAACTGCAGCATTTAGAAAGTAAAGTTGAGAATTTTTAATGCTCTGCACCTAAAATGTGTGTAGCAGAACGATGAAAATAAGAGAAAGAGACATAGTTTGCTCATAGACTCAAAAGACTTGCTAATACAGTGATTGGTATGAAAAGAAATGAGTCCTCATCAGATAATACTCAAGGATGAGGAGATAGGCTATTCTTCTGTCTGGGATTTTTATTAAAGGAAGACCTCTAAGAAGGAGAGGATAGAGAGAAATCTAAGGCCTTCCCCAGTGAGAGGCTGACAGCCCCTGAGTTACCCTAAGAGCATAATTGCAAACATCCCTCTAACACCAGCAAGAAAATAACAACACACACATGAGGACAATATGGTTGTCAAAATTAGACAAGGCAATATTCCAGCCTGGTTGCAGTGTATTGTGTATCTTTTCAATTGTGCATTCCTCTACACCTTTCTTATCTCTCTTTTGCTACTTTTTCTCTCCTATCTAATCATAAGACCAGCTATTCATACTGCAGAAAAATAAAAGGCCAGCTCCAGATGAGTTTGAGACCAGGATGAGTGAGGGCGTAGGGCTTGACCAGAACAGCCAAATTATATCCCATCTTGTTCCCAAATTGCTTCTGACAAAGACTATGCATGAAGTCAAAGTATCAACAGAGGCATGATAATCTCTTCATTCTATGTCCTAATAGGCTCATGACAAAGTTTCTTTCTACATGGACTTTTTTGGTACCTGTTTAAGTGAAAATAAGAATTATCAACCTCTGGCAAGTTGGTCTTTAACAACAGAAGCCTGGTGGCTTCAATTTTTCCATCAAGGATTTGTATCTGATATAAACAGACTACTTCATATCCATTTCTGTAAAATAATTTCATTTTTGCAATATGGTTTTATATAACCACAAAATTTCATGATACCTAATAATTTTCTTTTAAACTTTATTTAGCTCATGCACCTTCTAATACCCTTTATCAATTATTTATTTCAGATTAATGTAAATTTTCTCATGATCTGCCAGAAATTAAACAGATTTCACTCAGAAACCTATATATATGTATATATAGTATATACAGTAACTGTCTTATGAATATCTTACTTGTCTGGTTATCCCACTAAAGTGAATGCTCCAAATCTCAAGGAAGAAAAATTTGAATTCCTGTCACTGTGAAGTTCCTACCATTACTTTGAGAATTTCAGGAAATTTTGTGCAATTTTAAGACACTGAGTCACATTTTGACTCATACCTGGAAAGGAAAATACTTTCTATGGCGAACTACTAACAAAACACATCGATTGACATCTCAACCCAGAGTATAGTATATTAATTTATACCCTACCCATAATCTAACAAACAACAAATAATGCAAAGGGGATAAAAAATAATTGCCTTTGAGTGATACCATTTCTGCTATTATTCAAAATGAAAAGGCCACTTAAAACAGGACAACTTTTAGTAAAATTTCAGAGAACTAATCACAAAACTCTGAGAGAGAAAAGTCCATTTTGTCAGCTTAGCATCTTTTCAGCTCCTAAACTAAGTAAAATCTACAAGTTAATTAAGCTATATTCAATACCTTGTACTGATTCTATTTCTTCTGGAAATTTCCATGCTTATTTTTAAGAAGAACATGTGCAACAGTTTACCTGAATTTCCCAAAGCTCTCCAGTATTTTGAAACAATCCACGGGTGTATCAACTTAACAAGCTATTTGCAAAAGAGGAGTTCTGCTTCTCACAGAGGAGTTCTTGCTTCTCACAAGATACACTTGTGGGTTTCATTATCATAAACAGTAACTGCTCTCCACAGGATATTAGGCAAGAAGTGCTGGAGGAAAAGGGAACTAAAGTGTGTTCAGACTGGTTGGCTGCTTCCATCAGCAGTAAGCACCATGTGATATCCAGAACTATTGCATTTACTCCATATTGCATAGTCCTGTGAGGCTTCCTTGGTGTACAGAAGCCTGAACCTTTACAGAATAGCTGCTAAACAAATGTGTGAGGCAATTACAGGCATAAAGGGTGGACTGGCCACAGGTCCAGTGCCCTGCTACCACTGAGAGCCCTGCATACATGGCCCACTCTCAGGCATCAGCTAGAATGCTCCTTTGCAGCCTCACATTCACCAGTGGGATCTTGAGATTCTGCTGGCCCGTTTGTAAAATCTTCTGTTATGTGGATATATTTCTAAAAAACTCAAAAATTATGATAATACATTTCTTCTTCCTCCTGTGTGTTAGAGTATGAAGGATGATACAGGCTAGAAAAGTCAATACTGAGTAAATATGCTTCACAAAAAATTCTAAACGTGTTTGTGCTGAAGGTAAATGAAAACCACAATGTGGAATGCCCTACAAAAACAGCTCAGTGAATTTGATGGAGCAGTGTATGGGGAGGAGATTGCAATAGAAAAGCTGTGTGTCTTTGAGTTTAATTAGAAGTTAACTGAATCTTCCTCATGTCCTATTACTCTTCTTCTGCACAAACTTCTTAGTATTTCTGAAATATTTTGGAGTGTTAAAGTAAACAATTTGGAGTGTTAAAAAAACAATGAAAGTGCTTGATATTTCTAGCTTAATTTTACAAAAACTTGTAGCTTAGCTACTTCAGAAGTTTCTTAGGATGCTGGATGGATCTTATTTGAATTAGAAACACTGCTGCATGCCAATGACAACTAATGTTTTTGTTATATAACACAATGTTTTTTTTGTAGTGGAAGAAATACTGTCCTTTATTCTATTCATTCAGCTAAACACTGTATTTTATTTATATTTATTTATTTGTGAAAATTAACAATTACCACAGACAATAATGCATTTAATATTAAAACTACAGCAGATTAGAATTTGTGACTTGCTGATGTGTTCAGCAGCCTTTGTGACTGTTTTAAGATGGTACCTATAGCAATACAGTCATTTTATGTGGGTAAATGCACTGGAAGCGTTTGCTCAGAGTATCAGCTCTAGACAAATCATATAATGATCAAAGAACTAGCTTATCTTCACAGCTCTGAATGCTAGACAGTTCCTGTTGTCTTCTATTTCGCCCAATACACACAAATAAGTGCATCCCTAACTGACAGAATGCTCATGAGAAAATAAATTGCAACAAATACAATGAAAATAAGTTTAAGCTGTGAATTTCTGTGAAACTTGCCCATCTGCAATATCCACCATGTGCCTCATTTTCCATTTGCACATGCAATAGCTTCCTGAAATCTCTCTGGTTTTTTTCCCACTTATTTCTGTGAAGGTTATTTCTTAGTGATATAGGGAAATTAGCTATTTTTAGGTGAAGAAAGAATGTGAATAAATGAATATTTTAAGTAACAGGACCTGAAAGCAGTGTAAAGGTATTTTGCCTTTTTCACTTTTCACAAAAACAACAGCAGCAGCAGCCACAAAATCACTAGTTCATATTCAAGCAAGACAAGGATGCTAATAACAAAAATGTCTTCTCATGTATATACATGCCATTACATTCTCTGTGTAGAGAAACACAGCATCTAAATTCCAGCACCCCAGTAGTGTGTTACTGTTCCTATGTGAAAATATTGTGACTGCAACTTTAAGTATATTTTTTCTTAATCAGAGTATTTATTTGGATGTTTCCATGTCACTTTGGGAAAAGTGGCTAGTTAGGAATTAAGTCTGTCAAAAATTAAGGAAAAAAGAAAGGGAAGAAAAAGAATCAGAACCTTGGCCATTCAGGAAGAGTGTGGCCAGCAACTCCAAGGGAGGTAATCCTCCCTTCTGCTTGGCTCTGCTGAGGCCACATCTGGAATGCTGTGTCCATTTCTGGGCTACTCAGTACGAGAAAGAAAACAAAATACTGGAGAAAGCTGATTTAGGATCTGGAGGATCAGACTTATGAGGAGAGACTGTGGGATTTGGGTGTGTTCAGTCTGGAGAAGTAAAGACTAAGAGGGGATCTTATTAATGCATAAAAATTTCTCGGAGGTGGGTGCCCAGAGGATGGTGTCAGGCTCTTTTCCGTGGTACCCAGAGACAGGACAAGGAGCAATGTCCATAAACTACAACACAAGAAGTTCCACCTCAATGTGAGCAGGAGTTTCTTTCAGTTGAGGTTGGCAGATCACTGGAACACCTGCCCAGGGCAGTCACAGAGTCTCCCTCTCTGAAGATATTCAAAACCCACCTGGACATGTTCCTATGTAACCTCCTCAGGAGTGTTGGACTGGAATCTATAGAGTTCTCCTCCAGCCCTAATGATTCTGTGAATCTCTGCTGTAAATGTTAGTTCATTTTTTAAGACATTTTTCTTTAATCTACTGATGTTCTTTGCTCCAAAATGGTTTGAAAAGTCAGACACTTCCATCTGAACACCTCTTGCTTTCCAATTTAATGGTCAAGAATACCATAGTTAGAATTTTGTTACCTCTGCAGCTGTGTTGGTACTATTGTTTGAGTTGCTGTAAACTGAAGAGATATGATACAAAAAAATTATTTATCTCTTGACATTGTTTTTAACCTGCTTTGTTTTGCTAAACTGTAAGTGTATTATATGATCACAGATAAGGAGAGATTGCATAACAGTTAGTCATGGGGGAGGGTGGAAGAAGAAAAAGGCAAAGATGACTGGTTGGGGCAGCTAATCTTTAAACCATATGTATGTAGTGGGAGACAGGACTGGGGAGTAGTATGTGGAAGAACACTCTTGGGCAGGTGCATTAATATCTCCTTCCTAAGTCAGAATAATGTTGCTCTGTAATATATAACACATGCAAAAATGTGGAGCACTGAGCAAGAGAAAGTCAACGTTAGCAGCGTTTTTCACTGAAACTTTGCTTCCTGCCTTCTCCTCCTCTCACTCACAGGGCTTTTGCCTCCTAGTTGTTACTGAACAGGTTATATACTTTAAAAAGCAGTCTATACAGTAGTGAGGATAGATGTTGGAAAATTCTTTTAACTTTAGCTCATTAGTGTATGGTCCCTGTATTCATGGTTAATGCTGAGTTTTGTACCATACAGTGCTTAGCACAAATACCAGAGATTAATGTGGCTTTGTGTTAACTCCCTGCATCTGTGACTAATAAGTCTTGTGCTAGCTAATGCTTCCTTGTTTACTTCTATCAGTGATTAATATGTACTAGCTGATATCTTAGTTTTGAGAACAAGGATTGTGTGTCACAGCTAAGAATAACAAGAGAAATACATTATGACCTGACCCTCTCAAGGAGAAAAGTTTCATCACAAGATCTGCAATCATATCCAAACAAGTAAATTGAAATAATTTATATATATACATGTATTCAGGAAATGTGATGAACATGTGCTAGTTTCAGGAATATAATCTGGTCTGTTAGGTTACTGAACACGTATGTTTTAAGGAGAATTCCTCACCATCCAGTATTACTAATAAAGTAATGTTGTTTTTCTTAACCAACAAGTTTTTTTGAGAGTTTATTTCCCAATTTGTGATGATGTGGGAGCACACTTCGCACAGGAGCAGAAATAACATATTTATCAATAATCTCTGTACATACTTATTCCAAAAGTTTCAAACTACCTGGTTTTGTGCTGCTTTTGGGGTAACATTTTGAGTACATGAAGCTCATCAGAGGGCAAGACAAAGAGTCAGCAGTCCTGCCATGCCACTCCCTAGTGTCAGAGTTCTGGAGTGAAGTGCCATATTGTCATGGCAGTTATCATGTTACAGCATCACTTTGGAAATTACCTGATTTTCAGAATAAACTTGATATTCCTGAACGCTGGCAGGAACTTCAGATTGCAATTGCTGCAGTACACCATGAGAACCAAAATTTTTGGTAGCGTAAGTCTGTGTTATCTTTGTGTCTGCAGACAGAGCTAGACTTCCTCAAAAATGTGCTGCTGCATTTCCATTGCTTCTCAATTGAAAGCAGTTTTAGTATTTCTGACAGAAGTTTGGTCATGAGCAAATTAACAGCATTTCCTTGTGTCTACTTGCAGTGTCATGTTTATGGCAACAATATGGCTTTCCAGATGCTGTTTTGGGACTAGTGACATGCAGGATTCTGTGAAAGATCCTCAACTCAGTGCTGTGGCTCTTTTAAATTCTTGATATTCAATATATATAAACTTATAACCATTTCCTATTATTAATATATTTATACTTGCCTGAAGAGGGAGTGCAGAAATCTCTTTCCACTATTTATACTTTTCTATCCTAGAGACAGCAACCAACTCCTAGTCTGAGGCAAGGGGGATGTGGGGGGGACGTGGTGGCCATCTCGGTAAGGAAAGCTAGCCACTCAGACGCTGGCAGGTAGGTAGGCTCGCTGGCTGGGGAGTTGCTAGAAGCTGTGCATGACAAGAAATCAGAAGAGACTGGCGTGAGAGGGACGACGGAGGAGCACGGCCGCCACCAGCACCCTGCGTGGGGACAAGATCTCTGGCAGCTGGCGAGGGTTTGCCCTGAAGTTTTGCTCCCTCAGCCCCTCCTCTTCCGTTCCCCTCAGGAATAACTGTGCCTGTGCCCTGGCACGATCCCCTTTCCCGACTCTGTGCCTGCTCAGTCCCGAAGGAGCCGGGGCTGATGGAGCCGCTGCGGGGCTGAGCGCGGCCGCTGCGCCGGGGCAGAAGGGAGCGAGCCTGAGCCGCGGGAAGGACGCGCTGGGACGTCAGAGGGGAAGGGAGACTTTCTCAAGGAAGAAGTTGCTCCCACCCTGTATACTCCCATGTGAATGGCTGAGCAGGGGGTTATCAGCTGGTCTGGGTTCCCCTTCAGCATCCCCCCCAGCTGCTGATGCCAGGAGGAAGTGGGAAAACAACAGGGGAC